TTCCTGCTGCTGCTTGATTGAGGTGTTGCCGCTGATTTAATGGTGTGTGTGTATTGCGAATACTTTCTAAATGCACTTTCGAATTAGGTTCTGCTTACCCGATTTAATTTTGGTAATGTCTATCGTATTGAGCAATCAGTGGGCGGCATTATCATTTCACCATTTAACGCAGAATTCCTTCCCCTTTTAGGAATCGTTGAACCATCGTCCCCGTATCCTTGGTTGTCTATATACAGTCAGACCCGGCCTGCATTATCTGATTCTATTTTACTTTTTACCTACAATATCCCTTTTAAAAAAAAAAATAATGACGTTTTAAATAACAAATTCTCATCCGACCAATTATGATTGAAAACAAAAAAAAACTAAAATATATTTTAATATGAAACATTTAAATTGTTTAGATTAATCTGAAAATTACTTCAGCTTGTTTCCTGTAATACGAGGTGCTGAGGTTTGGATATGAGATTGCAGGTGCACATATCTGTGGTGGGGCAAGACCAGATGAGGATATCATGGATTACAGAAACCCCTACCCCTGCTAAAGTACAATACGCCGCTTCCCCTGACGCCGACGGACCCTTGGCCACCGGCACGACCTCTTCCTACCGTTACTTCCTCTACAAGTCCGGTCAAATTCACGACGTCGTCATGGGTCCCTTGAAACCCAACACCCTCTACTACTACCGTCTGGGAGATTCTCCCCAACAATACAACTTCACCACTCCTCCTTCTCGATTTCCCATCAAATTTGCAGTTGTAGGTAATTACCTCCCTAAAACCTCATATATAAACCACCATACTCGGGGTTCAATAGTCATTGTTATAAATTTACAAACGTAATAATAATGCAGGTGATCTTGGACAGACCGAATGGACAAAGACGACGCTGCAACACATAGCCAATTCAAACTATGATATGTTGCTGCTACCAGGAGACCTGTCCTATGCAGATTACATACAGAGCCGATGGGACTCGTTTGGTCGCTTGGTCGAGCCATTAGCCAGCCAGCGTCCTTGGATGGTCACTCAAGGAAATCACGAGGTCGAGAAGATCCCGGTGGTTCACCGCAAACCATTCACAGCGTATAATGCCAGGTGGAGAATGCCGTTCGAACAGAGTGGGTCCGACTCTAACTTGTACTATTCCTTCGACGCTGCCGGCGTGCACGTCATCATGCTTGGCTCTTATACCGACTTCGATTCTGGTTCTCCACAGTACAAATGGCTTGTGGGCGACCTGAAAAAGGTGGACAGAGCGAAGACACCTTGGCTGGTGGTGCTTCTTCACGCTCCTTGGTTTAACTCCAACGCTGCTCATCGGGGTGAGCCTGAATCCTATCAAATGAAGGCGGCCATGGAAGATTTGCTTTATGAAGCTCGCGTTGATGTTGTTTTCGCAGGCCATGTCCATGCCTATGAGCGTTTTGTGAGTTGTTCTCTCGTCTCATCTTATCCAATCCTATTCCCTGTCTGCTACAATTATTTAACGATCTAGCTATCTGATGATTTTGTCAGACTCGAGTGTACAGAGACAAAGCCAATAGTTGCGGTCCAGTTCATATAACCATTGGAGATGGAGGAAACCGTGAAGGCCTCGCTACCAAGTAATTAATGAATAAGCTTCTAAGCACTTTTCAGACCTTGCAAAATGTTATTTTGTCAGTATACTGTTAATAATCTATAAGGCAACCAGGATATACTACAAACCTAGGAATATATAATAATTAATAATAATGTATTGTTGGGTGGTGACAGGTTTTTGGATCCCAAACCAGAGATATCAATATTTAGGGAGGCGAGCTTTGGGCATGGAATATTGGAGGTGGTGAACGCAACGCATGCGTTGTGGACTTGGCATCGGAATGACGACGACGAGGCTGTCCCCTCTGACTCATTCTGGCTCACAAGCCTCTCCATTGAACCTGCTTGCGAAGTCCATTGATAATAAGCGTAATTATAATATGTAGTACTTTCTCCGATATATAATACTTATAGTGTAATTTATAAAATGGGTCCCATATTTATGATCGAAGAATACTTAGCCTGTGACCCATGGGTTTAATGTTCAGCTGTTTGTAGACGATTTTGAAGGATATTAATTAGTGTCAATTAAATGATAAGAAAATAACTGCCTTAGATGTCTCATGAGCATCAGATGATAAATATTTCGAAGTTCTGGTGTGCTGTGATGTATGTAAATTGAAGCTTTAAGTGAGCTACTGACCTTTACCTGCTGAACTCCATGCCATCCTTTCCATCTGAACTAGCTTTAGGTCCCACATTAACTCTTCCAGCACAGGTTTATATGCCTTTAATTTCGAAGTCCGACCATTAACACTTAATTCTAGTAATCCTTGCTGCGCTCCAACTTGATATAAAGAATGTAGTGGCTGCTCACCAATGAAAACACATAGACCCCACACAGCTCATAATGTATTAATTCGTTGATATCTATCAGCAGTTTTATCTGTACTCGTCTACAAATCAGTTAGTTGTCAAAACACAGTAAAATATAATATTTACTTTTATTTAGACTATTCAATAATTAAAATAACGGAAAATATATAATAATGTATAATCTTATACTTTTTGGAGTAAATGTTTATAATTATGACACGATTATTATGACTTCTTAAAATTAAGTACAATTAATATTGTTTTGCCTATTTTTGTAATATTTATTACTAAGATTATAATTATCAATCAGATACATCAAATTAATTTTTCAAATTATTCATTATAAATTTTAAATAATTATATAATGAAATAATATTGAAATACTACTATAAATTCTAGTTTGTGGTGCTGATAAATTAATCATAATATTTTGAAAAGACGTATTTATCAGCGCTTTTGCTTTTATCCACTAGGAATATGTTGGAGTGATTCTTTGGTTTATTCGTGTAGTTTGACTTCTGAGAAATTCCCTAATTTGGAAGTACATATCCTGTTTGAGCTTCCATTGTTTGTTTATGATGTAATTACAAATTACAAATTAAATTATAAATCCACCTTTAATTTGTTTCCTTTTCCTGTTTGCTCCATCTTCCTTTCATCTGAATCTGATAGCTGAATAGGGAAGTATTCCGATGAGTCATTATACGATCAAATCAGCGAATAAGTGACATTTATTTTTTTTATTTTCCTTCTTAATTACGGGGAAGGATAAGAAAAGCGCTTTTACTTCTATTAGAGGATCCAGTATGCTGAATTAGTATTTTTTTATGTGTATCCAGCACCTTAAAGTACCTTGTAGTACATTCAACACTTTGAAATATCTTTTAGGTATGTCCAGTATTCTGAAGTATTTTTTTTATATTGATGCCGAATGTATAAAAAAATATTTTTGGGTGCTGGACGAACCTAAAAAAACACTTGGAGGAGCTGAATGCACTAAAAAATACTTCATGTGGTGCTGGATACACTTAAAAAATACTTTAAAATGATGAATGTATCACAAAATATTTTAAGATGCTAAATATACATAATAAAATACTTCGGGGTATTGAATGTAGCTTAACCCAATATTTTATTCCGTTAGATCACATCATACAGATCGGAAGTGCCTATATATCAGCCTATCTTGTATATATAAGATTCCATGTTCTCTTGCTAATTAATGTCAGGATTTTATATTAATTTATAATTCTATGTACATATTAATACAACAAATTAGACGAAATCGGTTTATACTAAATACCAAGAGGATTCATGATTCCAAAACGTTAAATCGGTTTCTAATAAAAACACGTCGAAATTTAGAAGCTCTCCAATACAATGATTCTTTTTCTTGTACCCCTGCCAGCCAAGAGCCCTCCAAATGGTTCACGAGAACGGTTATCTGTATGTGAGAATAAGAAGACAAATAAGAGGACCAATAAATTACCGAGAGGAGCCATTTGAAAAAAAAAGGAATTTATTAATTAACAATAAAAAAGAAGATTGACAGCTATGCGGGCCATTTATATAGAGCCTGGGAGGCGGGTTGTCGATCATGGAAGGTAGAATTTGCCTTGACGCTCGGACGCTGCGTTGGCCGCCGAAGAACACAAGAACCGACGAACACGATGGAGGCCCGATGGGCGAGTGCGGTGGTGATAATGGTGGGATTATTCGGCGTCGTTTTGGCCTACCGTCGCCCTCTTCCTCGCCGGACAATCTCCGTCCAACCTTCCATGAATGACGATTCTGACACGTCGCCTCAACAGGTACGCACTCATCATGCTCTCCAAACTTCGCCGTTTTCTGATCGCTGCATTTACTCGCAATAACTCACGGCTATTCCCTAGAAATGAAAGTTTGAAAACGGAGGTTTTTTTCCCCTTCATTTTAAAATTTTGGCTTTTTTCCGATGAACCGAACCTGTACTGTTTCATGAGGTATCCGCGCTTGTTGTTTTGCCAGAGAATTAGATTTGGGTGGGTGGGTTTGGTTGGGCGGAGGACCCAGTAAGTTGGGTTACCCATTGTCATCTAATTTAGGACATTAGTGAGAAAATGATAAGGGTGGCTTTACGCGACTGAATCCACTGGTTCTAAGAAACCTACTCAATTTAGTTTCATCTGACGACGGTCTGACCTCCGACTGTATCAAATCCGGAAACTCAAGTTTGTTGTTCCAAACAGCGTCTATTGATTCCTGCTTCTGCACGCCGAATGTTCTTGCACTCTTCGAACCATGGGACTTATCAATAATATGATTTCACATAAATTTATGTAATACTGATTTTACAAATACTACAGTTGCAAAATTCGTCAATTCACACAATTATAAGACATTTATACCAGACATACATTTTTAAGTGGAGTCTCAGTTTAATATTCTGTATCTGTGGATAATTTGTTTACACCTATACCAATATTAACATAAATCACATTATTTGTAAATCATAAATATTATAGCTCATTTTTATTTTATGTTCTGCGCAATACATACGACTCACATCTAGTTGCATGGATTTCATCCAGTTCTTTGAATACATTATTTTTTTTAAATAAATAAATCGCAGGTTGTGAATATTACAATTTATTTTTGTAATGCACAAGATTAATTTGTGTTATATTTCACACTTAATTTAAATTTATTACTAATTTTTATCAGATTATATAAATATATGCGTGTTTGATGATCCTTGAGAATTACAGATGAGGCCGATAGGCTGCTTGATACATAATTCTGACTTCATAAATAAGGCAAAAGATAAATTTATTTACTCGTTAAGCCCAAAATAAGTTGGGCTCCAGTGATGAGGACTCTGGGGACGTGGAGTGACGTTTTTGTGTGTTATTGGGTGTGTTTTAAGATAAAATGGGTAACATAATGTCTGGGGTGATCATTGTGCAGGTGCATATATCTCACGTGGGCCCAAACAACATGAGGATCTCATGGATCACACAGAGCCCAACCCCTGCAAGTGTTCGTTACGGTCCTTCTGCTCAGGCCGACGGTTCCTCCGCCACTGGCTCTGCCTCTTCCTACACCTACTTCACTTACCAGTCCGGCCAAATTCACGACGTCGTTATCGGCCCTCTTAAACCCAACACCCTTTACTACTACCGTCTGGGTGACTCCCCTTCCTCCCCACAATACTGCCTCAAAACCCCTCCTTCTCAATTCCCTATCAAATTCGCCATTGCAGGTCAGCCCTCTGCTCAGTCCCCTCTTCCTCTCCTCATTCTCCATTATTTAGTATTTATTGTGTGTGTTTGCAGGTGATCTCGGCCAGACGGACTGGACTCAATCCACCCTGCAACATATAGCTAATTCAAGCTACGATATGTTTCTGTTGCCTGGGGACCTATCTTACGCGGATACTATGCAGCCTTTGTGGGACTCGTACGGTCGCCTCGTTGAGCCATTGGCTAGCCAGCGTCCTTGGATGGTCACTCAAGGCAACCATGAGGTCGAGAAGATTCCCGTGGTTCACAGCGAGCCGTTCACAGCCTACAATGCCAGGTGGAGAATGCCCTTCGAGCAGAGTGGCTCCGACTCCAACTTGTACTATTCTTTTGACGTTGCTGGTGTGCACGTCATCATGCTCGGCTCCTACACCGACTTTGATTCTGATTCTGCACAGTATAAATGGCTTGTCGGCGACTTGCAGAAGGTGGCCAGGAACAAGACGCCTTGGATTGTGGTGCTTCTTCACGCCCCTTGGTATAACACCAACACTGCTCACCAGAATGAGCCTGAGTCCTACGCCATGAAGGCCTCCATGGAAGACTTGCTGTATCAGGCTCGTGTTGATATCGTTTTTGCAGGTCATGTTCATGCGTATGAGCGCTTTGTAAGTCCCATGTTTCCCAATCTTGCCGCTCGCTTCATTCCTTGGCTTCAAGTGCCGTTTGTTTTTCACCTGATTTAACTTGCTCCTTAATAAACTCTCTGTACAGACTCGAGTCTACAAGGACAAAGCTGATAATTGCGGTTCAGTGCATATCACGATAGGGGATGGCGGCAATCGAGAAGGCCTCGCCTCTAAGTGAGTCGATCTTTTGAACATTTTAATTAAAACTGTATTTAATTGGGTAAATGGCTTTTTTGTTATACAACATTAAGATGCTGAGTTGAGTTGTGGGTTTACAGATACATGGACCCAAAACCAGAGACATCGCTGTTCAGGGAAGCTAGCTTTGGACATGGGATCTTGAATGTGGTAAACGCAACGCATGCACAATGGACTTGGCATCGGAATGACGACGATGAGGCTGTTGTCGCTGACTCTATCTGGTTGAATAGCCTCTCCACTGTGCCTAATTGTAAAGTTTAGCACCACATCTACACATTCTCATTTGAAGAGATCTGCATAATGAGGCTCGTCATCACCCTGCGAGTGTGATTATTCAATATTTAAAATGGTAGTTGAAGTTCTATTTTCGTTTTGCTGTAATACCTCAGAAGGAATATATAGTATATACATAGATGTGATTAGAGCATGATCAATATAAGTTATTGATTACGGGTCCTATGCAAAAAAATATGGTGAACTCAAAATAAAAATAGTAGCGCGCGCGCACACACATACGCGTATGTGTACGTGTATAATATCAATCACATTTGTGTGAAGTGCCCATCTATCTATTGTGATTCTGTCAAATCACGTACTGATCAAAATGTATTATTCTATATATTATACATATCCATAGAGATTGTCTTGATACCAATGAGGTACGTACGAACTACTCGGCAAGTTTTAATTTTTATTAGGCTGAAATGACGATTATGGGACGGTGCTCATAATCATTTACCAATGCCGTACGTAGGGCTCAGTTTTTCAGTTAAAATATTAGTTTTGTTTTACAGCAACTACCTGTTATTGTATAACAGAATGTAAACCGCAGACCAAACGGTTCCTGTGAAGTTGTTGTGGACCAAAAGGGTAAAATAACTGTGAATCAGTTTAATTTGGAGCCTCAATGCAACTTCGTCCAACAAATCATCACATTCTTTGCTTTGCTCTTCCTCTGAAAGTAGAGCTTTCTGGCTTTCCAAATTCCAAATTCCCATCACAAAGCTTCGTGTCTTCCAATGACAACTTGCTTTCTGGCTTTTTTTTTCCTCTTCTGAAAAAGAAAAGTTCTGAAGTAGGAAAATGCCATTGATGTCAACTGACTTTCCTTCTCTGCTGCTTCACTTATTTTATTTTTTTAAAATTAAAATGGTACATAATAATTAGATAAGGTTACTAGTAAAATTGAACCCGCACCCTGCATGTTACTAGGCTAAAATACTTTGTTGCTTTATTTACCGGAAACTGTCACTCTCTCCAATGATAGCAGTATGGTACCGTGGTCCGTCGAGTTGTGCAGATGCTAAGACGGATAGGAAGGGCTGAGTGGCGCTACGTCAGCAACACTTCATCAACGAACATATAACAGAATTTGCCACAGAGGGACCACGTTACAGTGTCACATAGCTCAGTGATTCAATTTAAAAAGAAACGAAGACTTGATTTTAATTAATAATCAGACATGGGGAACAACTTTTTTTTTTTTTGGGTACTACACATATAGCTATCTTTTTATTAGAGACAATCTTATTTATAATATTGTCATATACTGAATGTGAGTATCTCTTCTGATAAATATTTGAACATTGGTTTATTATTACTAACTTTTTCTACTAGTCCTTTTTTTTTTTAGAACAACCTGTTAGTACTTTTTTTTGGGTCTAAAACAGAGACCAACCTGTTAGTTCAGCCATAATATTAATGGCATCTTGAAATGCAAGCGAACCGGTATTTATTTGGGCCTTGATACCAGATTTAGATACCTGTATTTTTATCGGTCAAAACCGATACCTGTATTAATTTTTTGGGCCAAGAATTACTGCTCGTCCTGCTAGACCATACCGATGGGTCTACTACAGACACATTTTTCCAAATTCAAGGTCTTTCAATTCATCATTTTCGTGTTTCTTGCAAGAAGGTACGGCATCTAATAATAATTTTATATAAATTAATGAATTAATTAAAACAAGTTATTTCTTGCAAAGTCTTAAAATTATTTTCAAAAATCATTAATTAAAAGAGTTTGTTGAATTAGTCCAGAAGCTTTACGGTTAGACAGAGATACTGAGCAAAAATAATTAATACTACAGATAAAATATTTTTTTGCCATCGTACAAATAAAATATGTTATATTATTAAACATGATGAAATTTTTTATGATAAGCACTAGAGGGAGTTTTTCATAAAGTCTTGTATTGGTCACATTTGTTGCAAAAATAATTTTGAACATTTTTTTGGCTGCTGTTTATAGCAATCACGGAATATCTTTTTCCCCCTCGAGTATAAATTATTTTTAATTAATGCACACTTACTAATAAAAGTAATTAAAAGCATTAGATTTGTCATAAAATTTAAATTATTTCTAATATTATATTTATTAATTACGCTAAACTCTAATATCATATTAATTTTTATTCTCTCTCATTATCTTTATTAAATATGAGCATGTATAAAAAATATTTAATATTTTTCAAAACTATCAAATGCCTCGTAAAATGTGTACAACATTTTCTTAGTAAAGATGTTCTGCGGATGATACCAGACAGAGTATCTTTGTGCATACAGGCAGCTACCAGCTGAGGTGGGATGGAGATTAGCTGCACGGCATGAGAGAGGAAATCGTCAACCGCAGTAATGATTATGAGCGGAGGATAAGATTAAACAAAATGACTGTTTAATAGTACTAGATTATATAAATAACTTGTCATTAATTTTTTAACGAATGAAATATTATATATTAATGGACTTGCACTGTTTGGAGTTGAAATTCTGAGCGGAGGTGGCGTTTAAAAGGCACATTTGCCACCTTGTATGCGTCCTAAAACAGCAGCAGTTTCCTTTTAACACCATAACGATGTTGCTGGAAGAAGTCAAATGGGCTGACGTGCTTCTTACCAACAGCACTTTTGTTTTTTTAAACGCTGATGTGAAGTTAAATTTTGGAAGTATACTAATCACATAATAATACTTGTGATTTGAAGTATAAGAACTAAATACGAGGTTGGTTTTGATCTTACATATAAAATCTTAATTTATTTTATACCTCTAAATTTATAATTTGTTCCAAAAATATCCTCATTATTGATTGTGCGTGGGGTTTCTGTTATGGAGTAATTCCAGGAGGAAAAAAAGAACGGATTGAACTAGCCAGTTCAACAGGAAAATTGATGAACTTGCTAATGGTCTGATTTTGGTTTGAATGTTAAATCGGGCATGAGTTGGACCAGTATCAAATTGGGAGGAAAAACCAGTAAAAATCATTGTGAACCAATGATGAACCAGTTTGGATGATTATGCTGCTATTGGTCCTATTTTTTTTTCATTCAACTCATAATATTTCAGTCATTATAGATTTCAATGAATTTTAATGATCATTTTCGTATCAATGATTATTAATTCCAGTCATCGATGAATCGTAACAATCAAATTTTTAATATTATTATACTTTGTTATTGTTACAGTCAAACTACTATTATTATTTTTATTTTGTTATTGGTGACTATTAATATTATTATATTTTATTATTTTGTATTAAATTATATTACATTTGGTCCTAAATATAAAAGTTAATTGACTAATTTGAGTATATTAAGAAAATATGTTAAGTTAGTTATTTGTAATAAATATGTATTGTTTTTCCTAAAATATCCTTACTAATCAAATTTATTAGTTAGAGCTACTATTATTAGAAGAACTATCTTTTAAAAAAAGAATAAATATGAGAGACAAAATAGATTGGAGTCTTATATTTATAACTAAAATAAAAGTTAAGCCAGGTTTTATATTAAGGATAGGAGGTAGTATTATTTTGATATAACCGGTTTAATCTTGAGTTGACCTTGGTCCGATTCATTGACTATTGAACCACTATTTTAATTAGTTTGGTATTTAATTAATTTTTTAATGTCAGTAAATTAATTATCTAATTCTAATCTTTCAAATAAGATGGGATAAAGGCAAGCCTGGCCCCACCACGGATGAGACATATTAAAGCAGGACGAGGATGATTCCTTCCTCCTCCTTGCAAGCTACTACTTTACTTAAGAAGCTATCATCAAACTCTTAAAAATATCCTTTTTTCTTTTTTTTTTTTTGACCAGCAACTCTTAAAAATATCCTGATGCATGCTAATTAAATTAATCATGTGCACGCATATATCGCTTAGAGTAGGTACGCATTTACGTGCTTTGAAGTAAAACTATTCGCCAATTTCATAAAAATTCGAAAGGGAGATTTCTCTGAGGTTGAATAGCCCAGCACGTCAAGGAACCCGGGATTAATTTGAATTTCGGTCACTGTTATCTCTTTGCTGAGATCCTTCCTAGTGGCCAAGGCACAGCTTGTAAAGCATTTATCAACAGGAGATAATTTCATTAGTAATGAGTCGACTTATAAGTCATAAAACTATGAGTTTGAATCTATTATTAATGTAAAATTCTTATCATTGAGTTATCTGTAATTACTTTCACAAACAATTTTTAAGTCCAAAAAAATGTTACAGTGAGAATATGACAAATAAATCTCCTGGGAAAAAGAAGAAGAAAGACTCAAGGATATAACATGCCATAAATTTACTTACAGCGAAGACGAGAGGGTTCCACAGCTGTGGTCCCCACCTAGATCCCCGGTACTGAGTTCAATCAATAAAAAAGAATTATAAACTCACGTGTAGGGTTCAATGCACTTACCGCCAGTAATAATTAAAAACCACCAAATTAGTATTCGTCATAAAATAAATGATGAATTTCTTTGATGTATGTGTATATATATATATATATATTTTTTGCTGAGAAATGAAACTGGATGAATGATTATCCACAATAAATAATGATGTAAAAATGCATCATTTGACAGCGCGGGGAATGGGGATTCAATTCATAATGCGAAATCATGAGAAACGAGCTCACAAAAGAGAGGGGCACAGGAACCTTGAAAGTCTTCCCATCTCCATGAGGTCATGCCATCATCAACCAGATTCGCCTCATTCAAATCAAGCAAACCAAATCATTCCAAAGCTTTTAAATTTGTATATACAAGTTAAAATTTAGAAAAATTTATTTATAAAACCTCATTTATAAATTATAAATAATATCTTATAATTGAGATCGTACATAGTATATCATATGGAATGGGAAGAAGTACGGGTATCCGAATTCAAAGGCGTCACGTGTGTGTGTGTGTTGGTTTTGGTCCTTCTTCCTTCCCCTTCTCTGCCTCGAGAATGCAATAATCTCTGCTTCTCTCTCTTATTATTGAAAATTAAAAATTAAAAAGAATAGAAGAAAGTGGATGGATGGGTTGTAATTAATTACCGCTCTCTCGGCATAATTGTAATTATAGAGAGGGCAGGCTGATGATGAAGGAGAGGAAAGACCGCATTCTTTTTTAATAATCTCTGGGGGGAATTTTGACCGCTGATGCTATTCATGAATGCCTGTTATAGAGGTGGCCATGCACAGCAATCAGTACTCCACCCCCCCCCCCCCCAACTCTCACTTACACTTATGAATCATCCCCTCACTGCTGCTCCTCCTATCTATCTATCTTAAATATAAATTCCAGTTAAGTATTTCTAAAAGTAGTTAAATTTGTTATAAACGTCAACTAATTCTTAATTTTGACATTATCCTTTATGCTCTCTCCCATATCATCCTTATTAAACATGAATGCAAATTGGGAAAAAGTATTTAATCCTCCTAAAATCATCAAATATAGTGTTAAAAGGATCAAAAGTGTGTATGCTCGCAGGAATAGGAGAAAGTATGAGTATGATAAAACACAATATAATTAGATGGGAGCTTAGAAATAATGATAACAGACACGGCGCTATATTTAATTGGGAGGGAAGGTGAAAAGGCCAGCTGAGTTTATTACTGGCGGGGAAGCCTTTCATTATTAGGCGCAGCATCATCATTGTATTGTTTCCCCCCCGATATTTATACGCATTCCCGCATTTGCCCCCCCCGGCTTCCCTTCCTCTTCCCCCCCTTGCACATTTACACATTTACATTATATTAATATTTAATTATTTTGTTGTTACACGTGTTTTTTTTTTGCCAACTGTAATTACACCTGTTGGCTGAAAGATCTTTAGAAGCATGTGTATAATTACAAGGAAAATCAATGAGTTCGGAATTTAATGATGAGGGGAGGATCTAGTGGATACCATGAGGGATGTTAATGTCATTTCCAATTAATAAATTTTATTTTTAGAATCTCTTGAAAATATTCCCGGCGATGTTAACAAGGTGGAATGAGTGTAGTTTTTCAAACAAAAAGGCAATATTTCCTACTAAGACAAACTAAATAAATAAAAGAAAAAGACGTCAAAGTATTTCACCGGACAGTTATTAATTTTAAAGTATTTGTTTCAATTGATTAAACGATTCTTTAATAAAATATCCTTATGGTCTTATTTATAACGTACTTCTAACATGTTTTATAATGACAAAAAAAAAACATCAAACTGCGATAACTCTTCATTAAAATATAATAACGTTTTAATTTTACCCTTATTTAATATATACTCTATTCGGAAAAAAATATCTACATTATAATAAATAAAGGATAATATGGTACATTCATAATAAAAAATTAACGAAGTGATTTATAAATAGAATAAAAAAATAGTCTCACTCTGTCTTATAAATAGGACTAGAGGACTATTTTTAACTACGCAAATTATTTCACCGTCGTTGTATTTGTTTCCACTCGCGCTAACAAACAGATACGAGTATGTCCCAACATTTTGCACTTTGCAGCGGTGCGGACAACCTAGATTGATACTGTATTTAGATTTTAAAAAACAGGGACCTTTTTTGTATTTTATCTTGAACTAGATTTCTACTAAATTTAAAGCGAGATGAAAAATAATACTACATTTTATAATATAAGATTTATTTAAATAATCTAAATATGTTAATAAAACTAGTTATTTGTAAAATATGTAATAGTTTTCCCAAAACACCTTTTTAAATCACTTGTATTGAAATCATAGTGCAATACAAATTTTCTTAGTTTGCACAATCAATAAAGATAATTTAAAAAAAAATGATAAAGTATAAGGAATAAAATGAGTTAAAATTTTTTTTATTTAAAATCAAACTTCATTCTTAATTAGTTCTTATATTGAAAATTGAGTATATTATATAATCAGTTTAGATTAGTTAAAGTAATAGAGTCTTTTGGTAGCCCAAAATAAAAAATAGAGGTCTTTGCGCCGTTTTTAACTAGTACTCCTATAATACCAATTGATCATATTTTAAGTGACAAAGTGATTTGAATAATTGAATCTATACCATCGAGACTGACTGTACCGTAATCTATAAGAGCTGCGCCAATTTTCGCTGGCAAAATTTTATTTTGAGAAACCACTACCTTCGATCTTTAATATAAGATATTGTTTGACTTTTATTTGGTCCTAATATAAGACACCAATCCACTTTGTCTCTCATATTTATGTATTTTTTTTCGAAATAATCCTTCTAACAATAGTAGTTTTAGCCAATATACTTTACGAGAATATTTTAGAAAAGACAACACCTATTTATTAGAAATAACTAATTTAACTTCTTTTTTTAATCTCTTCAAATTAATCAATTAGCTCTTATAAATAGGACCAGAGGTAGTATTTGATATAAGGACAAAACTTATGCGCTCGATGCATTTGTTCTTTAATAAAAAAGACCCATCACTTAAAGGAATATATTATGCCATTATCCGTTACTAATAGAAACGAAAAAAGTCAATTTTGCCGTGGAACCAGTGCCTACAAACAATTCGAAGATTTTTTTTTAGGCATATGTATTTTGTTATCGGAAGCAATTCTATTTGAAATACTGTTACATACTAAATATGAGTATTTTTTTTAACAGAGATTTAAATTTTAATTCACGACATTATAGATGACTATCCTGTGAGATCCAATCTAGGTGGCCAAAGAATTTAAAGATGAATATATGTAAATATATAAATGAATTGGATGGCTTTACAAAGGGAGGATCCAAAAGCTGGGGCATAAGTTGCAAAGCATACGCGAAAAGCCAATTAAGCATCAGAGGCTTCACGTTATAACACTCATTCGCATTGCTCCATGTATCAGACTTGCGAGCTTCTCCCATAATTATTATAACCTCCAAACAAAATGCCATCAATGCCTCACACTCCTCACACTTCACTTGCATATTTCCGCATAATCACACGCTCCTCTTTTTCCTCTGCTTTTTTGACCTTCCCCTGCGATTTCACATCTGGTTTGTTACGAAACCACTCACCCTCGTCAAGATTTAAAGATTGACAGATACAGGCGGTGGCATACCGATTAATTACCTGCTCCACAAGAGAGAGAGAGTGGAAAAAAGCATCATCAATGTATAAAAACCGCCGTTTTGAAGATTACGGCAAGAGAATGATTACTACCAACAGCTGCAAAACACGAAAGGGAGTTTTAAAGAGGTCTCAAAATAGAAGAATCGCTCTGTAAATAAAAACAAAAGAGACGTAATTGATTAGGAAGAGAAGGGGGTGGTGGTGGTTTTGGACCCAATCCCAACCATCATTGCGAATCTTGAGACGGCCTAGCCCATCATCATTTTACATAACCTAGCTCCAACCCCCCCATTATTGTCCCTCTCTTCAGCATAATAACCCCATTCTTGCATTCCGATTTTGCCCTCCTCCCAGCCGGAGGAAAAGAGCAGAAAAGCAGGGGAAGAAGAAGCATCATCATTCACATGACGCCATAAGCATCATGATAGAAGCCAAACATGAAATCTTTTAGGCTCTTAACCGGCCGCCTTCCCTGCTTACACATGCATGATTGTTGTGTCAGAGAGACGAGAAACACGTCCCCCCCACCCCCCATGTCTCACTCTTCCTCTTCTTCTCCTCCTTCCCCTTTTCCTCTGTTATAAATTTCCGTCCTCGTTCTGATCTCCCACTCCCTCCCACACTGCTTTTGCTCTTTCTTCTGTTCCGTAATTCTGATTCCCTTCGTCTGCCAAGGTCCTCCCGCAAACTTCCTCGAAAAGGTGATCTTTTTCGAATCGTTCAATTCAGTTGAGAAGGGCAGAGACCCCCCCCCCCGGGGTTCTGTTTTCCCATTTTCTGCTTAGTGCTCACTTTCACAGAAAAAGACATACGTGGTGTTGTTGATTGAGAACCGTTTAGTGTTGTCGATTGTAGAGTTTGGTTTCTCTTTATTTCAGATATCTGTCTTTGTTGGCTTCTTATACTTTCTTGCGTGGGAATCACAAATAAGGGCTCACATAGTTGGGTATCTAGCAATCCTCCACCTTGTTCTCTGGAAGGAATGCTTGCTTTTTTTTCAATATCTTTTTAGTGTGGATTTTATAACAAATAGTTTTCTTGCATTTATATTTGATTAAAAAAATCCTATGCGAATGGTTTCTTTGTCTTTCTCAAGCTCTATAGTGACGTTCTATTCTTTATTATATATGGGTTTAGTATTCTCTCCCGATAGCCTTTTTTAAGCACATTCTTTTATGTTAAAAATCTGAATGCCCCTGGTGTGCCGGGAAGAGCAAGAACTATGAATAGACAGGCATAGAAACACCCACGAGATCGTAGTATGAAGCTTGTCTCTTTAATGCATGACCTTTATCCCTTTCTTCCCTATTGGGACAGCCGAAAGAAACCATTTTTTTCATCTTTCAAGTGAGTGCAGGTTTGGACAACCGATATTCCCACCCCTGTATCAGTTCCTTTTAGCATCTGAGACAAGCCCATATGCTCTATTTATTTGATAGGGTGGTCCAGTAGACTCAATTGTTCTGGCCTCCACCTGCTATGCCTTTTCCTGTTGTCATTGGCTTCTTCGGTTAAGTGTCATGATTGTATCTACCAAAGAAATTCATAAAGCAGCGCATTAGCCAGAACTCTCCTCTTCTTTTTCTCTCTTTAATTATTTCAAGCAGTTATTAAGGTGGTTCTGCTCCTCTTTAGTTTCATCAAATTTTATTTTAAAGGTCACAGATTTCTTTTTCACGTGCACACACCTAAGTGTATTTGTGAGTCTGGATTATCACTTGTATGCTGCGTTGTGTGAACTAATTTAATTACATTATCTGAAGATCCTCTCGTTTTTTTGGGCTCAGGGACACACCCAGGAGAACTGTTGCATAGTGATGGACAGGTTGAACTCAGAACTGTACCTGCAGAACTGCTACATAATGAAAGAGAATGAGAAGCTAAGGAAGAAAGCTCAGGTTCTTAATCAAGAGAATCAAGCACTGCTTTCGGAGCTGAAACAGAAGCTCTCCAAGGGTAATGCCAAAGGCAATTCTCCAAACACAATTGTTGACCTGAACCTCGGTTCGGGGTCTGACCAGAATGCTTCCAGCTCTAGCCACTAATCTGATTGGAGAAAGAAGTAACGTGACCTCTTACTAGGTCTCTTTTGCTGTTTTGGGGTTATAAAAAAACCAGAGTGGACAGTATTAGTTGTAGTCTCTGTTCATAGGATAATCCTAGAATCCTCTGTAAGGTTACTGTTACTTCTCTTTTTCATGTCTCGTTATATTTTCCTCCAACCATGTCTGGTGTATCTAGGTATCTTCTAGTGCAAAGGAATATAAAGTTGTTATTACATGTTTTTAGCTCACCCTGCCTTCGCCCTGTGCGTGTGATCGCGACAAAGAGAATATGGTCCTGTTCTTTATTTTCTGAATGAACATGAATTCTTTCCGTTAATAACCAAGAACGCGATTAAAGATGATAACTAAGCACGCCTAAGGATGCAAGCTTGAAGGCACATCCAATCCAATCAAACATTTAATACTACTCCGTATTGACAGAGATTTAACGTCGCGTTCTGGATGTAGGGAAGTGAAGAATTAACCTTGAAGTCTGGGTTACTTTACAGTGAAGATGAATGTACAAAATAATTGGATTAGAAAAAAGAGATTACAATCTTTAACAACATAAATTCAAAAGTACTTAATCTTCCTGGTGGGTATTCATGACAACGTAAATGGAACTGATCATGAAGCAAGGTTAAATGATCGTCACGACCCATGACGAATGAACATGATAAGGCACGAGGCCCTTTTCATGATAATACTGCAAAATATGTCATCCTTTTCTTCTTTTTAAATAGGGTTGGATATGTATATAAATATATATATATTTTTCCCTTGGGCGAAAAGGAGCGATGAGAGGATGACAAGAATATTGTTAGTTGTCACAGATTCTGCTTTGAAGAGAGAATCTAATCAGAGGACGTCACAAAAAAGATTCAGGAAGTCAATGAGGATTCATAAGATTAGGTTGGAGTGAGTGAGGGGAAGAGAGGAGAAGAATGAAAGAGAAGGGAAGACTGATGATATCAGACTGGTGGACATGACAATATCTCAGGAACATTACTAGGTTTTGACCTTCGCAGCTCTATAAATCATGACTGCACGTCAGATAATATCAAGAATATCTAAATCTAAGCATGGAAAATGACGTTTTTGGGCAGGCTGACTGCATATGATAATCATTTCTACTTATTTATAGTTTAAATGAGATTATTTCGAATAAGCAATCTTCCATATTTATACTTACACTATCAAATTATCTTGAAATGACTTACTTGAAAATAAGTACTAACTACTAGGGTGGTAAAACAGGTCATGGATGACAAGTTAGGATTAGAAAGTGTAAGTTAAGATGGTCTCGTATGATAATGAATTGGTTTTTAATTGATCCATGGTGGTACGTTGGTGGGTTGGCATTTTTTAAAATTTTCTATTTTTCAAATATTTTTCTTATACAATATAAAGAAAATATAAGGAAATTTTTTATCTTTCTTTCAAATATGTGATTAAAATACCAAATTAAATAATATAAATATTTCTTTAAAATTCTTTTAGATAGGATATAAAATATAATAATATAATTATAATAATTAATAAAATTTAAAGAATAGAACAAAAAATAAATGCGGACTAACTTGTGAGTTGCTGGGCTAACATACAACGGGTTGTGAGTTAAACAGTATGAGTTGAACAATTTGTTTAATGGCGGATTGGCTTTTAGTAATTATAACCTGCCATGTGAATAGGTTGGGGGATTGGACTCACAGGTCCAACCTACATTATTAGTAACAATAAATTTTGGACTAAAGATACTTTTTTTAAAAAAAATAACTCTTAATTTTGAAACTCTCTCCTCAAAAAATTGCTATTCTTACCGTATTACAACTACAAATATTTATTCGGAAAAAAAAAAGGACGAGCAAAAACTCAAACACCCAAAAGAGACATTCCTCTATTAAAAGATGCGGCTTTTGATTGGTTACAACTAGGGGTACACATATACCTTTGTGCCTAACCCAAGATCTCTTCTCCTCAAAAAATTGCTATTCTTACCGTATTACAACTACAAATATTTATTCGGAAAAAAAAAGGACGAGCAAAAACTCAAACACCCAAAAGAGACATTCCTCTATTAAAGATGCGGCTTTTGATTGGTTACAACTAGGGGTACACATATACCTTTGTGCCTAACCCAAGATCTGGTTTGAGGTTACGTCAGGCTGGATACGATGGTCCGTGGTCTGATCCAGTCCAATATGGACCTGAGATCAGGCCCATACCAGGTTTGACCCCCTAGACCACCAGACCAGTCTAGGTAGCCCATAATCAATTTTTTTTAAATTTTTTTTTAATGAGTGATAAGATTTAACCCACCGAAATTTGTAATCCACTACACTTTCAGTAGGCCACACGCCACGCCATTCTCTCTCTTCCCCCTTCCTCTCCGCTCTCTCACATTTTTCTTCCCTCTTGGAAGGAAGAAGAAGAATACCAGCCCCTCACTCCTAGCATCACAGCAATCAAAAGAATTAAAAAAATGATGATTGAAGCTTCTCAACCTAAATGCACATGCATTTGGTAGAGAAGGATAAGGGATGACAGATCTGAGAAGGAAAAGAGGAACAGCAGGCGACAAGGAAGAGACGCGGGCAGCAACAAAAAAGATGCACGACGTCAATGACGATAAAGAAAAAAGCCTGCGCTTTTTTGAGTTTCAAGCACCAATAGCAGTGACGATGAATAAAGGAAGAAGAAGAAGCTTCATGCAAGATTTGAAGAGTGGAGATTGAGATGGGAAAAGAGTTGGCTAGAGAGGGGATGAATCATGAGATTGAGATCTTAAAAGGGGGGTGAGTTGGCGAGCATGAAGGTCTGAAGATTTTTAAAAAAAAAGTAATTTAATAAATATATATAGGCATGGATTAGACTAGACTAATCGGTCCTTATGGTCAACCCGAAACTCGATTGACCCGATGAATTAGTTTGGTCTGGGCCAGTTGTCTCACCAGGCCGCTTTTCCTTTATCAGGTTCGATCAGACCGGACCGGTAAAAACGGGTTAGACTGCCTCCGAGTTTTTGCAAAGCCCCTAGTTAAGACCACAGGAAGGCCTGAAGGGAGAATCTATCAACCATTCAACAGAAGATTAAACAGGGCAAAACCGAATCGAAGGTTGTCAAAAAACGAAAAGTCAATATTTTCATTCAATCACAAGTTTTTGGTTCAATTTCCTCCGTGAGTTTCCCTTTTTAAATTCTCTTACAGTTCGGACTTTGCTAATTCCTGCCCCCAAGAGCAATATCCATGCCAACAACTGCAATTATCTATCTATCATTATACAAATCTGGGCTGGTCGCCGGGAAAAGAAGATAAAAGAAGGCCACCAATCCCATTACTGCTAAAAGAAGGCCACCAATCCCATTACTGCTGCTACACTAATTAACCCTGCAACACAAACACAAAAGGGTAAGCTTGGATCAGAAGGGGAAAAGACACACACGTCCAAACTCCAAAGCCGAAAGAATAGGAAGCTACATTGCGACACCATGAATCTCATTTCACAGTTCTGAGAATCTAATAAGCGGACAATGAGAACCAGAGGACTTTGAAATTCTAAGACGGCTCCTTGGAACAGGAGGTGCCCAATTTTACGAAGCAGGGATTTGAGTCTTAAAAAATAAGCTTTGGCAACATTAAATCCAAACTTCCCACAAGTTAAATCCACAGAAACTGGAATACAATTTCCACTCACAGAACAAAGTGAAAAGAGAAAAACCTGGACAAAATTTTTAGTGTTAAAACATAACAGGAAGGGAAACGAGAACGCTGTATCCGAGACAAAGGGCAGATTCAACTTTCTATATTTTCAAATATTATAATCTCGATATAAATAATATGAGAAGAAGAGCTGCTAGGATTCACTAAAAGACAGCTTTAGGTACTTTTCTACTACTGATTAATATATACTACTATATTTTTTTTGGGGGGTTGGGGACTAAACCTCTAGTAGGAATCCAACCATACCTAAAGTAAAAGGGCAGAATTACATTGAACGACCTGAAAAACTAATTCGTAATGATTTACCTTAAAAATGATTGTTCTTAGGACCAAAGGACCTTTCTGTGAGTTGTACTGACAAAAATGCCTTCATTTACTTTTCCAAAACACTCTTTAAAGAAGCTGACTTCGGAGCCAAAAAACTTATGCCTACACAGAAATCTCATTTAATTCACAACATGGAAGAAGACCCACCCGAGAAAAATACATATTCATGAAGAAAACGTCTCTATGAAGAAGATTCATTTGCTCTATTTTGCTTATGTTAACCATGGTTTGAGCTTGCAATTAAATTAGATTGCTGCAGATTTTTGTTTCAAATAAATGAGAGTAAGAGATGAAGAATAAGAATGGAGTGCCTTGGACAAATATATAGGAGCTCTTTTGTCCTTGCAACTCAAATATAAGGTCCTTTGTTCCTCAGAATAAATTTCATTTTTCAGGTCCTTCATTATAGCAATTAATTTCTTTAGATCCTTCAATGCAGTTTTCCCAAGTAAAAATACATGTTTAAACCACTCTGCACCACATGCTCAGGATCTAGAGTGATAGAAATGAAACAAAAAAAAATGAAGCTACAATTATATAAAAAAGCCATTCATTGTCATTGAATGGCTCCCGCCTAAGGACCATCTCTGGGTTTTCACACAAACCAAAAAAAAAAACCAAAGAAGAGGAAAGAAAAGAACAAGCTAATTGTAAAGCATTGAAGTATACTCTAACTATGTTATGCATGACAAAGTTGTCTTTTAAACTTACGCCAGAGGTAATTCAATACACATACCACTTCTTGGTGAAAATAGTACAGGCAATCCCATGAAATTACAATACATGTGAGCAACTATTGGAGGAATAATATGTCCTGCAAAACACCATCGTAAAAGATAGACCAAGTCAACCAAACATATTTAACTAAATGGATCTTTTCATAGGAGATGAGCTGATCATTGATATAAGCTATGAGAACCCAATCAATCATTTGATACAGCCCATGTTGACCGAAGAAACACAATTAAATGACCAGTTAAGCAAATGAAACCATGACTAACACGCTGTATAGTAGTGTTGTTTAAAGTGCAAAAGAACAACTTACAATAACTTGGTTTGTAATTGCTTCACTTTATTTATAAATATACACTAATTATCATATTAAAAATTGACAACTTCTTATTGTGAATTTCTCATTTTACAAAAAGCAGGGAAATTGGAAAACCATTAATTGGTTAGTTTTATAGTTACATTACTGATTAAATTCCATTTGACATGTTAATAATAGTAGAGAGCATATAATTTAGTTTAAAACAATATTCTTAGGCAAGGTAGTCAAAGGCAAGAGATGCCCTTAAGAAACTATACCTCTAAAAAGCTTTATCCAAAAGGCTGTAATAAGCACATGTTCAAGTGAAACAAGGCATTCAAGCAAGAAGAAAATACGCTACACACACACACACACGTAAATTTTGAATAACATTTGACATATAAATAATCATTCAATGAATTAATTAAGTCACTAATATCACCACTCAAGCATAATAATCATCAAATATAACTCACAATGTGAAGTGCAATTATGAAGTCATTGCCAAATCTCAAAGCATAAAGTTTACTAAGTAACCTTGCTACTCAAAATGCATGTGGCTAAGGTCGCTTGCATTGTTTTTATGCGTTTGTTAGCATACCCCTAAAAGCTAATAGCCTAGATAATCATACTTCAAAATAAGAATAACTATTTCACCCTATTCTTAAATCGCCGGTGGGCTGAGCTTCTAAGATCTTGTATCAAGATCATGCATTGAAGCTTTTTTATTTTCTCCTGTGACTTATTAAATTTCAAGTCAGGCCGCTGAGCTAACTCCTTTTACTTTAAAAAACACAACGGATGGTATGATGCTTGATCAGAAAGGGTTGAAAAAGCAACAAAGGGACTTGCCCAACAATGCCAGGCTGAAGGCAGTGCCTCAACACCTTGACCGCCATGTTCGGGAGCAAAAAGCTATGAGTAAGCATCTAAAACATGCATTGTATTAGAAGATTATACAAGCACTATCCTGTCAATGTGCAAGAGTAAGGTACGCCTTGCAGTTTTGTAGAGGCTAGACACAATATGACAGTACTTAGCCATGTATGTATGACAGAAAGCAACTGACCAGACATCACCTACCAGTTCGAATGAAAAGAAATGAAGCATATGACCCAAAGATGACAGTGTAGCCAAGCTGGAGACCTGCAGGTATAATCAATTGTGTGCTGTGAAAATGTTATCAAACAAAACTAAGGGCGAAGCCTTGACATGTGTCAGGCTCTAGAATAAAACACACATCAACCTTGCAAATGGCCGATTGGAGAAAACAAAATATAGACATGAGATATATAGTAAAAGATGAGCATACCTATAACTTGGGAAGCCCTGATTATGTTGTAGTTTTGCTTACTGTAAATCTCCATGAAATGATTTAAATGTGCTGTAGATCGATTACACAATAGAACTGCTCAATAACCTCATAACTCCAAGAAATTGAAAGAAGTCAAATATCCCCCCACCTTTTGTTACTTTACATCCATGCAGAACTTAAGGGAATGATTTTCAAGGGACGTAAGTTACCAAAACTTTTCCAGGCCTATGTGCAAGTGCACACCAAGATATGTATAGTTTTTCATCATAGTCTAAATTATTTTCATGGTTAACAACTTCAGACAATGTTAATGAAGTTAAGTAAATGTGCGTTTGACATTCAAACCTATCGTGATTGGTCCTGCAAAAGATTATCAACATTCTAATAAAGAAGACAGCTCTTACAACTTCATAAAATGAATGATGAACCTTTTCCTTGTGATCTGATTATACTTAGAAGCAAGCCATAGTCTAGATGCCTAAAAGAATACTAATGGGTGCTTGATCACTTCTTTTGATGACATTTCAACCACGGAATGCCCCAAGGCCACTTCTTGTGTATCGCACAGAAAATGCTGCTTCATAGTGTCCCAAAAAAAGATTCATCTTTTCATGTAGATATGCATCGACTTACCCAAGCTGAAGAATATAGGGCAAAGAAGTATAACACTATATTTTGAGTCCTCCACAGAGAAGTAAAGGTATCATACATGCTCTAAATACCAACTCCTCAGTAATGGGCGCCTGTAGAACAAACTATAACTAAGAATTCTCATATTGCATGTATATGGGGAAAACTCTTCAAATTTATGTAAACCCGTATTCAAAAGTTTATAAATGGTCTCTATAAAAACGAAAGCATAGTGCCTAGAAACCAACAAAGAAGGTAAAAGAACATCAGAAGAAGACATAAATAGTTCACCTGATGCCAAATAAACAATAGAAAGTAATGGAGAATAGAAAATATTGAAATTCTCCGGCTGAACCTTAGTAAGATTTTTCACCATCCTTCTTGTAATGGGTTAATCAATCCAGGCAGTCGTTTCACATATGTGCATAGTTTATAGTATGTTAAAACTTGCTACATGTTGGTAACTGTAAGCTTGGTACAACAAAAAGATAAGCAAGTACTAATTGCACTTGGACAAAAGAAGGTAAGCGAGATGACAAAGTTACACTTCTCTGGTTTAATAGAACTAAGTTAAATGGGATGTACATGACAAAATATCAACACGCATTAAAAATACTAACCACAATACAAGTTCGCCAAGCTAGGACATTGGATAAAATGGCAGAAAAAAAGCCAGGAAACCTCAGAAGGGCATTTTTGCACAAATTAAATGAGAGACTTCCACCAGAACTTCTGTATTGCCTCCAAGAATCAACCAATAAAAGATACTTGACGAATATTGATCCAGCATACATTAAAGAGGTCAGAAAAAGAGGGATGGTCACTGCTTGCCACTGTTTCATACAGAAAATTGCATTTCAGCAAGCAAATTTAGAAAAAAGTGAGTGACCCTGTTTTCCAATCTGCATAGCATACAAGAGTGTAACTTGGAATCACCATACAAGTAAGTTCACATTCTTTCCATTCTGTATCTCCAAAAGATAAAAAATGACGTTACATGTTGGAAATTAATTGAACCAGGAACATTTTTAGTTCGAACATAAGAAAACGGAACTCACAATATGATCCACTCTCATGCCATAAACAGTAAATACATATCCTGCTGCCCCGGTTCGTACCTGCCGCGTGGTAAAACAAACGCCGAAAAACGATTATTATAATTACACAAAACTAAATTAAAAATAGTAGAGTAACTTGAGAAGTCATAATTACACAGTATGACTCAAATCTCAATCGGCTAATTTTACGTGACAGATTGATTTTCTTAAACTTCCCAATGATTTATCATTTACTTCTCGTTACGCGTATAATATACTAAAATGTTATACAATCCTGTCCTCCGAATTTAAAGAAATAACCGTATACTTTACTTTTATCATAATAAGTCGAAGTAAACCGATATAAAATTCGTTGTTAGGTAGGAATTAGTTCATCGCATCAAAAGCGGGAAAAATCTCTAGTCTGGGGATAACTCCAATATCAACAAACGAAGTTACTTATTAGCAAGCCGCCCTATATAATCACAGTAGAGGTCCCTTGGTTTTTTTCTTTTTAACCATTAGTAGAAAACAGAGATCAAGAGTAGGAATGCTACCCAGTAGGCTAAACAGAATGACAACGGCAGGAAGGGAATAGAATAAAAACAATAAGGAGCACACATACAGGAAGGATTAGTGCCGAGACAACAAGCGACAGGATCGAAGATATGATGGCGCAGATGAAGCGTCGGATCATGTAACTGTTGAGAGAAGAAGGGGGAGGCAGACGAAGGACCAGCGCGGGGGCGTAGAGAATGGCAACGTATAGAAGGGCCATAGCCATGCAAGCTATCAGTGCCAATGGTTTCGAAAGGCCGCCTTTTTCCTCCATCGCCAGAGAATAATTCATGAACCCTAGAGACGGAGGGCGAGAGAGAGACAAAGATCGCGTCTTGGGACTCTTGTGTATTGACGACAGCTAGGGTACCTCACTGTTTCTTCCCCGTGCAGCGCCACTTCTCGGCTTCGTCGTCCCCAGTATCTTGCAGCATTGACAGTCCTGTCCAGTTTCCGCTTCAACGGCTTGCTGCTTTCGGCAGTTCAAGTCTGGCCGAGAGGCAAAGAAAACGCTTTCTTTCAAGAACTGCATTTTTTTTAAGGAAAAAATCTAGGAAAAATGACATGAAGTTAAAAATTATAATATTTTAATTCAAACACTTAAAATTTCAAAATTCTAGAAAAAAAAAAGTTCCTAATTTGATATTTTGCAAATATAGCTAAATGACTAAAATGCTCTTTTATCAGATTTTTTTTTAAAAAAAAAGCTATCAAACTTGTCATTACCAGTGTATTTCTTATTATTGGTTGTTCAACGCTTGTCATTGTTAATTTACAATTTATTAATAAATAATTTCATTGTCAGTACATTTCTTGTCATTTACAGTTCAATATTGGTCATTATTAGTTCACAACTTATTAATAAACTTTTGATATGAGGGTATTTTTGTCATTTAATTATATTTACAAAATACCAAATTTAGCATCACTTCTTCCCCTAGGATTTTAATTTCTTAGCTGTCTGAATTAAAGTATTATAATTTTCAACTTTTTTTATATCATTTTTTCAAAAATCTAATACCACCCCATGGCTATAATTGGGGATATTTAATTTGTCCCGTCCCGGTCCCGTTGAGTTCGGGACAGGATAAAAAAAAATTCAGACGGGACAGGTACGAGACGGGACGGGAACAGTGACAGGACAGGACGGGACAAGGGACGAGGTTATCCCGTCTCGTCCCGTCTCGAGGTATTTTTTTAAAAATTATTTATAATAATTATTATTAGATTATTTAATTACTTCTTAATAATAATAATAATAATTATTATTATTATTATAGTGTTTTTAGCTCTTAAGTTGTAGTATTATCTTAACAAAATCTTATTCCTCAATAAAATAATTTATGAAGACATTATATAGTGTTTTTTTTCCTGTATTTTTTTTACAGTATTATTTTTACATCTTTTTTATACTATATAATTGAGCTTTCTACATAATATTTTTTTATGATGTTTTTATCTTTAGAAGCCCAATGAAAAATAAGCATTATAATATAAAAAAATTCATATAAAAATTATAGTATTTTTTTTAAAAGGGGGAAGCGGGACATCCCTGTCCCATCCTGGTTCCGTCCCGGTCCCGACAGGACAGGGATAGAACCAGGACTGGACGGGACGGGACATGGGACAAAATCCATGTCCCGTCCCTGTTCACCGGGGGCTTGTCCCAATCCCGTCTCGTCTCGTGAACTTTTCTAGCTATAACTAAGTTTCACCCCTGTTGGCAGGGGAAAAGAAAAGGGTCTTGTTGAAAATAATTTTTGGGGGAAGCGGGACATCCCTGTCCCATCCTGGTTCCGTCCCCCGGTCCCGACAGGACAGGGATTGGACGGGACGGACATGGGACAAAATCCCTGTCCCGTCCCTGTTCACCGGGGGCTTGTCCCGATCCCGAACTTTTCTAGCTATAACTAAGTTTCACCCCTGTTGGCAGGGGAAAGAAAAGGGTCTTGTTGAAAAAATTTTTGGTTTTTTTTTAAAAAAACTTGTTGGGATGTTTTTTTATATGAAACGAACCAAAGGCCTACTAGCCTATCCCATACAATTATTCATTTCAGACAGCATTAAAGAAGATAGTTCATGTGGTGCCTAACTAAGTGGTATCCTGGTATCACGTTGAGACCATGCTTGGCGAGGTAATCAGGAGCTGCATTTGCGCCTCTGTTAACATGCTGTAGTTTCACCATCCAGTCCCTTCGCAACATATTTCTGCACTCCGTGATCACCCCATGATACACATGGGTTCGCACTTCACTGGTTTGCAGCAGGTTGAGTGTCTTTGTGGAGCCAGACTCAACTACGACTTTCTTGTATCCCCTTTCCCAGGCAAGTTTCATGCCATGCAAAATAGTCCTAAAGCTCAGCTAAGAGGCAATCTTCTCCCTCCATTCTACACGTAAAGCCTACAAGGAATGTTCCTTTATCATCACGAGCAACACCTCCACAAGCCATACTCTGGGAGTGGTGAGTGTAAGCACCGTCAACATTCACTTTTATCCAATCTGGGTCAGGTGGTTTCCACTTCTCTTTTCGTGCCTCTATGGTTCTATGGGTTCCCCTCAATTTGCAGTGAGCTACTTTAACACTACTCACCATGGCTTTTGATTGAGCAACTATCATATTAGCGAGCACAATGTTTCCTTCGAAGATTCGTAGGTTCCTGCATCGCCATAACCACCAAGTAATGGTGAACACAACATCCCAGTCAGCATCATTCCCTTTGTGCCTTTGGGAGATATTCCAATGAACCCACTCTTTCACCCCTCGGTTACAAAGCGTCTCCAAATATTAGGGTGCACCAACATCTTCCAAACCTTGCGAGCCTGCGTACAATCATGTAAGACGTGAATGATGTTTTCCACCTCCGTACCACACACACTATAGGAGCTATCAATAACTAGACCCCTTCACACGTGACTTTCATTCGTTAAAACGCTCTCTCTCACTGCAAGCCAGAGAAATGAAAGGCATCAAAGTGGTGCTTGGACATTCCATATTCTCTCCCAAATAGGGTAAACTTGTGCATCTAGTTTCAGTAATTGGGCATAGGCTGACTTTACAGAGAAGATGCCACTTTTTTCCCACCACCACCTTACATCGTCGCTATGAGGATTACCTTCCAAACCCTCCTTTACCTCTTTCCACGTCTTTTTGATCCCAATCCATGTATTCGACCCGGGTCTCCTGCTTTCCATGACAGGTAGCATGTCAACCCTGTATTTATACTTATCACGGATTATACGAACCCAGAAATCATCTCTCTGATATACCATGTTCCACCCTAACTTCATTAAGAAAGCATGATTTTAGTGTTGAGCATGCCTGATGCCAAGCTCGTCTTGTTTTCTGGGCCCATACACCTCAGACCGAAACTAGCGGTACACGCCGAGAGTCATCTGTATTGCCCCAGAAGAAGCTTCTGTTGTACTTATCTAGCGTCTCACACCTGTTGACAGGGAGTAAGGTTGTTTGTATAATATATCCAGGAATTGCATTCGTAACGGAAGAGATAAGAGTGTTTCTCCCTGCAAGCGAAAAAGAAGTTGCTTTCCAATTGGAAAGTTTACCTTTCACCTTATCCATTGTTTCCTGAAAAGTATTCTTGTCAACCCTTTTATGATGGAGAGGTACCCCAAGGTACTTTCCCAAGTCCGCTGTTTGAGTAAATCCCAAAGCTTGACTCAGCTCACTACACCTTGTGTGGTTGACATTTTAGGAGAAGAAAACTCTAGTTTTGGGGGCACTGATTTTAAGCCCTGAGCTACTACAAAACTTTCTAAGGCATTCATTAATCACATCCACCTGTTGCAAAGAAGCCTCAACAAAGATAATAATATCATTTGCAAAAAAGAGATGTGAGATAGGTGGATCGGTCCTTGTGAGTCTTATTGGCCTCTATTCCGACAATTCCATTTTCATCTGTATGAGGTGAGCAAGTTTCTCCATACAAATAACAAAAAGATATGGAGAAATTGGGTCGCCTTGCCTAACTCCCCTTGAGCTATGAAAAATCTCAACTTTATCCCTATTCCATAGCAATTGTAGTGAGGCAGAGGAGATACAGCATCTAATGATCTCAATGAAATTATTTGGTAGCTCCAATTCCTGCAAACAATTGAGAAGAAAGCCCCAATGCACTCTATTGTGAGCTTTTTCAAGATCAATTTTAATTGCCATGTATCCTTTTTTTCTGACATGGTTCGCATAGAGTGAATGACTTCTTGAGCAACAATAATATTATTTGCACTATGTCTTCCCAGAACAAAACTACATTGGTTAGGAGAGATAATTTTAGGCAAGAATAATTTTAACCTGTTGGTGACCACCTTCGTCACTGCCTTATATACTACATTGCAGAGACTAATAGGACGAAGATCCCGTATCATTTCTGAAACTTCCTTTTTGGGAATCAACACTACCAAGGTACCATTGACCTCCCGAATAAGCTGGGGGTTGGCGTAGATTTGCTTGATAAACTTAATCACAGAATTACCCACCGTGTGCCATTAATTCTGAAAAAACAACATATTAAAACCATCTGGACTGAGAGCTTTAAGAGGGCCTATGCTAAAAATGGCGTCCTTGATCTCTTTCTCTTCGACTTTTTTTGCACAATACCGAAGTGTGGCCTCATCAATTTTGGGAAAAGTAACGCTACACCACAGCTTTTCACAGTCAACTATCTCTTTTGTAAATAGTTGTTCAAAGTAAGACGTGGCGAGTTTCTTTATTTCCTCATGATTATAGACCCCATTCCCTTCATCATCACATATTGCATCAATTCTATTTACTTGGCATCTCTTATTGGCATATCGATGGAAGAGCTTAGAATTGTTATCACCATGAACGCTCCATTCCATTTTTGCCTTTTGTGCCCAAACTAAAGAATCTTGCAACATGACATCTTCTAACTCTCTCCAAAGTTTCAGTTGCAAGTCTCAAGATTTCTGTTTTTCCCATTCTGATTGAGGTGCTGATTTATACCATCAAGTCTCCTCAATAACTCTTTCTTACGAGTTTTCGTATGGCCGAACGTGTTTCTGTTCCAAGATCTACATTCCTCTGCGAAATTGGTGATGTTGTCATTCCAACTTACATGCGACTTCTACTTTGATTTCACAAAAGCATCAAACTCCTCATGAAGGACCCATGCCACTATAAAACGGAATGGTCAATTATGCGGAAATCGATTACTAGCTTGATCTAGACTTAACAAGATTGGCTGGTGGTCCGATTTAAACGGTGGAAGATGGGTAACAAACGCATCAAGGAACTGATATGACCAAGCATCATTACACAGCACATGATCCAGTCTTACCGCTGTTGCACCGTGTTGTCATGTAAACTCGGGGCACCGATATCCCAAATCATGAAGATGACTCTGATCAAACCAAGTGATGAAGTCTTTATCACTTGATAATTTGTGCTTAGCAACAGAACGTCTATCCGCAGCCAACAAGGTTGCATTAAAGTCACCCCTAAGGATCCAAGCCCCTAACATATTACGACTTAACCGAGACAACTCACCCCACAGTTGCTGTCTCACCATGGCATTTGGGTGGGCATAAATAATCGTCATTTCCCAGCTAAGCCCTTGACTATTCCCAACTCTCACATGCATAAACTGGGGGTTTTTCTCTAAGATGGTTACATGCTGCACTGATCTCTCCCAAAGGCACCATATACCTCCGCTATACCCTTCGACGTCAATGATCTCATAGGCATGGAAACCCAGCTTTTTTGTTCTATTTTTCACCTCACGCTTGTCACACCTAGTCTCAAGGATGGCCAGAAAATCTATTTGGTAGTGTCTTTTGATTTCTCTAACCAGAGAAGGGAAGCTTTTGGCTCTTGTACCCCTTGAGTTCCAGAACATAACCTTCATGAAGAAATATTCGCTAACGTAGGAGAGTTATTCCCTTTCTCCATAGTAATTCGTTGTGTTGCTACGTCTTTATCCATTTTCTGCGACTCAACTTGCTGTGTTGTATTAAGAGTTAACGTATGCTCAGGTACCGTCTCTTCACGATAGTCCCAAGGGAGTTTGTCTTCAATATGTGCTGTATGCTCCTGGCCCATAATCATTAATTGTGCTTGAAACACTAGTATCCATATTTGAGGGCCCCGCTTGCAATAGAAAGAAAGAATTATGCATGGGAATTAGATGATCATTGGGCCCCACTAATTCTTTTTTCTTGGCTTTTTCGGCACTTTGCATTTTATTTTCTTTTCCCTTTATTTTAGCCTTATTCTCACTCTTCCTTTTGGATCCTACTGGGGTCCACTCCAAATTATTAGAATCCTTACCAAATCTCCTTCCCCCCTTATCCGTGTTCACTCATTCTTTATTTATATCTTTCTTCCCTAACCGGCCACATACCCCTTGTTTCTTCCCCTCATTTTCTTTGACTTCATGTGATATCTTCGAGATCTGATTCTCGATAATTTCATCCTGACTTTGCGATATATTAATTTCACCAGATCCCACAATATTTGTAAAACTGACTTTTCGCCGAAAATCCCTCCGTACTATCATCCCAGGTCTACAATTAGTTTTCCCGTCACCGGCAGAGCTATCTCTAACCGTCGTTGCATCTCCCTCCGATATCCCATTTTTCACTTGTATACTCACATGCCCTTCATCAAAACTCCTCGCCTTACCTTCATTCTAACCCTCCTTTCCATCTTTTTCAGTATCCTTGTTAAGTGGGCATTGCTCGTTCTGATGGCCATACTTCCCACATGTAAAGCAAACCATATGCAGACCCTCATAAGCTATCGGTCTATCCTCGCCAAAGGCAGTGAAGAAGGGTAGCAAAGGTTTCTTCAAGTCAATCTCCATGCAAATTCTAGCGAAACCTCATTTATCATAGATAGACGTAGACCAATCCACTTTGATTATCTTCCCAATCATATTTCCAATTTGTCGCAAGGACTCCACATTATAAAATTCTAAAGGTAGATCAATAAGCCTCACCCAAGCCGCTATTTTCCTCTGCTCATTTGCTTTACGCGGATTGAAATTTAGTTGCCATCGCTGGACAAGCAGGTAGTGGTCATTGATCATCCAAGGGCCTTCTTGAAAAGCATAATCTCGATCCTCTTTATTAGCAAAGGAGACAGTAAAATAACCGTTGCTTAGCGGGATGACTTTTATATCCCCTTGTGGTTTCCACATCCTCACAATTCGATCTCGTATAATGTGTTTTGGAATCGTTGCCCCCAGCAGCTTGACAATCAAAGAATTCATCCATGGCCGACACCAAGAAGCATATTGCTCTTTAGTGACTTGTAGGATCGGCCATTTACTTTTCCTTAGTGATTTATCTGTCGCCTCCTCATCAGAATCATCCTTATCCCCATGCTCCTCTTCCACCGCATTCATTTTGGCAAAGTAGGTTTTCCAACCATGGACGATATCATCCTCCTCACTGTGATTAACAAGGAAGCCTGACCCTCCTACTGCCAAAAGCTTCTCCTTGTATGACAATGGCATTACCCTTCGCCTCCCCCGCGTCTCCTCCATGCTCCCCTTTATTTTCCCACTAGAGCTCTCCCCTGCCGCCGTTCCAAAAACAAATTGTGTCGGAACACCATCCAGACCATGACCTCTATCACCTTCTCCCTCTCTCCCTCCACCTTCCTCACGACCGCCGCTGCCGCCGCCGCTCTCGGACTCTCAATTTCCCCAATAAATCTATTTTTGGGATGTTTGTTTTTATTTAAGTGTTTTTTGTTTTTTTATTTTTTATTTTTTTGTTTGTGAAAATTGGGAAGTTCTTTCTTCTCTATTTGATGGTTTTTTCTTTATTTGAACATTTGAGTTCTCATTAAAATTTCAGCATTCAAATGTAATTTCTTAGAACAATTATTCAAACAGATTTTTTAGTTTTATGTTTTTAAAACTTATTTTTAAAAACAATTTTATAAAATTGTTTTGAGAACTAAAAAAAATAGAAATGCCCTAAATTTCACCGTGTCTCTGTTTTGCCACCCAAGAAAATAAAAAGAAAAAGAAATGGGAGAGAGAGTTTGGCAGGAAATTGATTAAAATAAATTTAGTGTCTTTGCAAACAGTTAAAATAAATTTAATTAAGTTGGCAAAAAAAAAAACTTAATTAAATCATGGGTTACGATTTTTTCCCCAATGACAGCTATATTAAAATTAAATGAGATGTTGCTTTCTGATTCGTTGGGCCGCGAGCTGGTATTACAGGAGAGGGTGCAAGAATTTCTGGTGGTTAAGAAACAGAGGTACAAGCACGTAATGTTTTTACATAAAATTTTCTATCTAATATCACAAAATGATTTTTATCTAAAAGTGAAAAAAAAAGATCTCTTAGCATATAAATTTTTACCTCGGAATTTTCTATTTAGTATCATCACAAAAAAATCCATCTAAAAGTAAAAACATTTTATAAAGAAAAAACTATTAAAATTTGACTCCTCCTTCGTATTTCTGCCCTTCATAGTTATGTTAGCGTGCTTTTTTTCTTTTTCTTTTTTCTAAATACGCACTTTCATTTCATAAAATATATTAATCGACAAAATTCATACTTTTTCGCCTAACAAAATAAATTTTATATTTAATCATCTATTCTGCAATTACAATTATTTTTAACTAAAATATGAATATTTTTTAAGATGTTGCCCATGGCTTAGAGAGTGTTTATTTATCATAAAAATTCATGTAAGTTGTGACAAAACTTCTCATATATTTATTTTATATATTATAAAATTATTTTTAAAATCAAAATTTAATTTTCTTTTAAATACCCTCCTAATCACCCGGCACATCACTCATTGAGGACAGAGCCCTCGACCTTCAATTAAAGGGAGGCGCGGTTTGCCAATTATGCCAAAAAGTGATATTCATATTGCTCTTAGTTAATCTTATGAAAATAATCATACAAATTACAAATATAAAAAAAATATGTCCAATCACAGATCTAATATAGTATTTGAAGGAATTTAAGTTTGAAACAAAAAAAAAGAGAGAAAGGATTTAAGAATGATAAGATGTTAGAATGACCCATTCTTCCGGAAAAACAAAAAGAAAAGAGAGATGATCCATTTCTCACATTTACAGTTAAAAAGCACTAATTTTTATTATTTTTATTAATTCAAAGAAATAGAAAAATAATAATATAGAACCTAATTAATTAATTTGAATAAATTATTTAATATGATATTTTTTAAAAAATATTTAAGTATTTTTTTAATTTCCTTCCCTCCTCCTATATAATTATTATTAGGAGAATACTTAGTCTAAACAAAAAAGATTTGTGGATTATACATTTATACTGTATAATTTAATTATATAGTTATATACTAGTACTCAATATTTTCGGAATCCAAACAACTGTTAATCTGAGCAAATGAGTACCAAGCATCGAAAGCTCAGTCCGCACTTGCTTTTATTTCTTTTTCCGTCGATCTTGCTTCCTGCTTTATAATCCAAGAAACCGAAATATCGGCGCTGAGATTGTCAAAACCCTAATATTACTTGAAGTCAAGATATATTTTCCCCCATTCATCAGATCTTATGGCGAAAGATTTCACGGTGCCGCCAGTGGTTTTTCCATCCGGCGGTAACCCCACCGCCGGCGGAGCAAACATGGCGCAGAGGCGGGTTCCTACGGCGCCGTTTCAACCGCCTCGTCCATCCAATTCCAGCATTCCCTTCATGTCCTTTGACATGGGGTCTGCAGCCGCAAGTGCCCCCTCCGGCACAATTTACGGAGTCCCCGTTGGAGGCGGTGGCTCTGCAAATTTTGATGACGAGGAACCTCTGCTTGATGAGCTTGGGATCCACCCGGATCAAATCTGGAAGAAAATCAGATCGATTCTCAATCCGTACCGGCTAAATTTTGTCGTGCACAAGGATTCTGATCTATCGGGGCCGATTCTTCTCTACATGTCCTTCTGCCTTTTCCAGCTACTTGGTGGAAAAATTCAATTCGGTGTGATCCTGGGTTGGATCGTGGTATCGTCTATCTTCTTATATGTGGTCTTCAACATGTTGGCTGGTCGAGCTGGCAATTTGGATCTGCATACTTGCACGAGCGTGGTGGGGTACTGTATGTTGCCCGTAGTGATTTTATCTGCTGTGTCTCTTTTCTTGCCGCAAGGTGGGATCGTGAGGTTTGTGATTGCTGCGGTATTTGTGCTGTGGGCAACAAGGTCTTCAGCGGGTCTTATAGTTTCGCTTGCGGATGGTGGGGATGAACATCGCGTGTTGATTGCATATGCTTGTTTCTTGATTTATACCCTATTTTCATTGCTTGTCATATTCTAGCTGTGATTCGTACTGAAATTTTGAATGGCGGTGCATAATTTTAGTGGGCAGTTTCCTAGCTTCTGGGTCATTTTGATTAATGTTGTAGTCATACTGATGGAAAATTGAGATGTAGAAAATGGAAATATTTCTGTAATTGAAATTTTTCTTACTGTGCATCGCTTTAGTTGCAGTATTGTTTTATGAAATTGTGCATATTCTTTTGAATTCTGTTTTTCTTGAAATCACATTTCTGAAGCTCTGCAGTAGGTATACCAGTTGAGCCAATTCAAAATCGTGGTTTTTATTTTCTGTGCAATGGCTTATTAGAATAATAGGTGTTCCCAAAACATGAAGATCGAATGAAATCTCTATCATTTGAGAGGCTGTCGACTTGATTAAATAAGCAATTGGTGTTCTTAAAAGTATACTTACTATATTGATGGTTGTCGGTCATTCATCCCGGAATGTTTTATATTTTTTTTGGCTTAGATAAGAGGACTTAAACTGGGGACAGCACGCGAAACTTGATTTAGTATGCGGTATTTGATAGCTATAACTTCCATGTGTATGGAAGAAAAAAGTTGGGAAGGGATAAAAAGTATGTGACTACATGATTCCGAAAGCTGCTTCATGTGATTGTCATTACCATCTCGCAACTTAGAGGGGCTTCAACTACATGATTGTTGTTTCCGGCCATTGTTCCTGTCACCTGATTTTGTGGTTTTGGTGAATAAAATGCCATTACTCTTATGGTGCAGAATTTCCTATCATTGAACAAGATATGGAACTGCAAAATGAAAATTTTTAGTCGGGCTGCCAGAGTTTTTGTCTAGGAAAAGAAAATGGTATAGGTGAAAATTGACTAGGGATATGGACATGTTTCATGCATGCATAGTTTACATATTTTCATCCCCCTGTTATCTTTTCCTCATTTGTTGCCTGAGCACGGTATTGTTAAATACTGATCCCTGCTCTATTAATTTCAGATATTTTGTGGGATCTTATGTGCAAATAATTTACTATAGCTATTCTTAAATCTATGATCTTATTGGTGATCACTGGTTCATGCAAAGCCTAATAAAGCTTGCTGTATTTTCATCTTTTGTCCACCATGGCGGCACTTGCCTGTAGTCCATAGTGGAATCCATCCAGACTCTCCACAATTTAAGATTTTATGCCTCTGCCACATAAACATTTTTGCCTCTCACCAATGGATGCAAAGTATCTGCATGGTATATTTTATTTATCGCTTAATGCCAACCAGATATAACTATTTTCCTCCTTAAACACGTTTTCATGCTGAGGGCTTTTGACATGTATAGTTATATTTATACTCCTTTGGTCGCATTTACAAGTCATTTTCAACATATTTCACGCAGATCAATAAAAACCTTAAATTTCATTAACTCTTATTTTAAATTTAATAATTTTTTAACATTGTCCCTATTTAATATATAATATATCTCATCAGAACAAAATCAACAAAAAGATAAAGTTGTATATTTATATGAAAATTTCCTGGGACAAGAGGAGTAATAAGTGTGTGGATACATGCTTCATATGCTCCACTTGTGAGCGATTATGTTTACCAATAATTAAATTATCTTTGCTGATTTTACCCAGGAAAAAAAAAAATCTCCGCTAAGAAGGGAAACCCCCCCGGGGGGGTTACGAAGGAACTTATTTGTGTTTCTGGAGGAAATATGTCTTATTTTCTTGAAACTTTTGCTCTCACGGTTATGAGGATCATGAAGGAAGCATAAGGGTTTTCTTGCGTTTCCTTATCCCTGTTCCTCCACAATATTTGGTCCAGGGCCCAGGACAGCAGCAGGTGACGACTGACGACAATCTGAAGGCTTTTGATCTTCGGTTGCTATTTCTATTTGGACCTCGTCAAGAAGGGACACTGTTTAAAGTTTCCCCTCTAGATTTAACTTGTGCCTTTTCTGTGGAATTACAAGTCTTGTCGCTACTAATTTACTTATTTTTTCCGAGTTATGGCAACCTTCTAACACAGTTCATTAGCTGCAAGTTTGTTAGTTGATGATGCGGCCAAACGCTTGAGCATACTATATTATTTGTCATTCAAAGATGTACTTTTTTTTTTAATATGAAGGAAGAGTCATGACTCATGCGGTTGACTTTATGGTTTTATGTATTCGCAGCTTGTTCTATCTGTTGAGGTAGGTAGCTTTCCGACTGACTTCATGTTATGATTTTGGTATATATGATTCAACTGCTTCCTATGACCATCCCTACTTCTTGATTTAGAAATATGCAATTTTCCCGTGGTTATTGACTTTTATAATCTTATTGTTTACGGGCTTCTCTTCACGAATACGATCCAGTGATCAGAGAGGTTGGGCTGCATTTACAGGCACATATAATATCTCATAAGCAGAGGTTGGGTTGCTACAAGCTGAAATTCGAAAGGGTAAGCTTGCTTCAGAATGATTTTTTGACGAATAGAAGCAGTCCTCTGTTTTAGAAACATGTTGACACGACTAATTCAAATTAGCCGTGCCCAAACTAGGTGGCAGTTAGGTGGTGTGCCTTGAAAATGGCTGCCTAAGTGGTGCTTACACTTTTAAAAATCGTGTCATTACAGATAAAAAGGCAAATGGGGGCTGCGCATTGAATTTGGTGGAGCAGCTGAGGGGAGTTGCTGCGTTGAAAACCACCCCCCCACTTACTGTAGATTTGTTGGAGAGCGTTCTACTTACCACCATCACCCGTAGACACACATATATGCGCCCAGCTCTTCCTGTTAATTGTACAGGACAAACCATGACTGCATCAGTTGAAGATTCTGCTGTGCACAAGAAAGCCATCCAGGAGATAGGCATGGAAGAGGACGAGGATCTATTTGAGATTGATCTGGACGCAGTGAACGCGATCCCACCACCTCACTATTGGGAAAGTTACAATACTTCCACTGGCAATGCACTTCTCGCCAATTGTTTGCTTCCCATTTCTGATATCTCTGTTGCTGTTCCGGCCGCAAGTTCAGTGTGTGTGGCAGCGACAACTGAAGTTCTTGGAGATGTTACAGAGCCTGTGTCGCTGGGGGAATATCTTAGGTTGCCATTCTTGGGAGCTTTTGAACTTCTTAATCAGAAAATGCAAGCACAACCACCCTTCGTGATTCATTATCATTGATCTTGATATGTCACCGTACCGTGTTATGCCACTGAGCAGCTAGTGGCAAAATCTCCATCTCTTCCTTGCTTTGATTTTGTTGTGTTATCGTAGTAAAAAATTTCTCTGTTCTGTTGGGCATGGAAGTTGAGTCACCATACACTGTAAGAGTTTAGGTAAATTCCTCAATCAAATACATACGGATACAGATTACCATGATCATGGGTTTAATTTCCCTTTCTCGGTTTGGAAATCCAAGTTTTAATTGAAGTAATGATACACCATAGTGCCGACTTGAAGACCTATCCTTGGTCTATAAACTCCCTTGAAATCGCGTTCGCACCGGATTAAACACTTTTCACACTAAACAGAGGTTTCGCACTCAACATGTGAAACATATAGGCAGATATTGATTGCGTATCGATGATCACAATTTATGCGCGATGGGGATCAGGTCACCTGTTCGCGCTTGAATGAACCAAACCAGGGCCCTAACGAATTTCTGTATGGTTGTTTTGTTTTTATTTTGCCAAAAGTATAGCTGTTGGTGATTCTCATGCTTGCATCACCCGCACACACACCTCCTTCACTCCAAACTCATCCTACACCATAGGTGAAATGAGAGCACATCGGTCCGTATGAAGGTTGATATTTGATCCTTACCTGATAAAATTTTGATTTTGATTCCTACAATTTCATGAGAGCTTGGTTTGAATTAACACTATTAAGTATATAAGCCAGAGCTAAAACTTAATAAAAATATAAGGACCATATGAGTTTTGGTTTTGGTTTGTATATTTAATAATATTAACATCATCAAGTGCCTGTGAAACTATAAAAACCAAAAACTACGGTGATGAACTTGTAAGGCTTAATAATAGGATTGAGTTATTAACCCATATGTTATTTAGGGATTTCTTAATTTACGTGCAAAACTTTAGCACAAAAGAATTGAAGGGAGGTGGTATCTACTCAGTTGAGCACATTCTATCTTATAGCAATGATGAGCATGGAATTATCATCACAATTTGGACCATCCAGATTAATTTTGAATGATCCAGATTCAATGTAAATCTTTTATATATTTTAATTAATTTTTTGTTTTAATAGATACATAATTTAAAATAAGGGTTAATATAATTTTTGGTTTCTCAAGTTTATTTTTATTTTGGTTTTGGTCCTCCAAATTTCAAATAATGGATTTTGGTCCCTACAAAAACAAAATGGTCTAGATTTTTATTAGATTATAAGGATCCATATTATAAATGAAAAACAATTTGAGGGATTAAAATCAGAATAAGAGTAAACTTAAAAGACCATAAATTATATTAATCTTTAAAATAAAGATAATCTTATAACTAAATTTTTTTAAAAAAAGTTATTATTGAAAAAATGACATATTAAAAATTTTAACTCTGGACTATTCATATTAGATTTTGAATGGTTTAAATTACATTACTATGTACTCATCAATGTGATGTGCACTAAACGAGGATCCTAGCATTTATTGTCTCTTCCCCATGCGTCTGTTCTCATCATGCAATCACATCATGAAGACTAAATAATTTGTTTTTACAATGGAAATTTTGCGGATCGAATTCGTCACAAAAACTTTAACTTGCATCACTTTCGTCTCTGACGGGAAAATGGATTGCAAAATTTGTCATCAAATCAGTTTGTAACGGATTCTTTTTTATTTCGCTTGTCGATTTCCATTCAAAATCTCATTTATTTTACAGTTTTGAATTTATTTAATTATAATTTGGTCATTTTAATTTTAGATTAATTTTTATTTTTGTTCTTTAAATTTATTTATTTTTATTTTATTCTCTTGATATTATCATAAATTAGGTGATCTCGGCATTTCACAATATATGAGAATGCAAAACATGGCATACAATTTATGAATGAGACAATATTTACATTAAACTAGAAATGCCTCTCCCGTACAATGCACGGATTAACATATTTGATTAGATTTAAAATTCTAATAAATTATATTATTTAAGGTGGTTCAGCATTCATTTCTTATAGGAGTATGATTTTTTAATTTATTCAAATAGGATTTAAATTAGAGATGCAGAATTTAGAAAAAATAGATGAAAATTTGAAATTATTTATTTATTTTTTCATTTAAGCCTCCGCTTGACATATCATTTAACTATGATGCTTCTTATTTAATTTAATATATTTAAATCCTAATTAAAATATTATTCAAATTTAAAATTAATTATTAATTTCTTCAGTTGAGCTTCTAATTGAAATCTTATTAATTCAATATATTCAAATCCCAACCAAGATGTTATTTAAATCTCATTAATTAAATATATTTGAATCCCATAATATCATACCTGACCCAGGTTTAAACAAACCAGATATTACAAGTTCTTAAGAATATAGTTGATTTTTTATACCTATCATGTCAAGTTCTCCAATTACACATTCTATTTTTAAAATATTAACATTTAGTTATAAATTCACATAAAAAAAACACATGGCCATGTGTGATTAGAGAACTTGAAATAATAGATATAAGAAACTTGATATAAATATTTTCCGAGTGAATAAATATACAGGTTATTGTAAACTTTATATTTAATTTTGTGACAATAATGATTTATTTTTACTTTTCTTCAATCTATCTATTAACTTGGAAAAAAGTTTCTTAAATATAAGTTATATCATATTAAGTTATTAACATGCCTTACATATAAGACAAACTCCTCTACATATTTACATCGTATACTGTAAAATTACTTTTAAAACTATAATTTAATTTTTATATTGCCACTCCCTTGATAGTTCACACCAGCGGGCGCTAAACAAATTATTCGAGCAAGCAATATGATTCGGGTCGACCCCGAGGAAAAAGAGAAGAAAAAGTGACGTTGGCGGTGCATGAGATTTGAGAAAAGGCAAAGGCAAAAACGCATTTGGTTTCCGAGTCCCAATCAATTTGCTTTTGGCAGAAGACTAAGACACAATTTTTTCGGCTAAAGAGAATAAGACAGAATCGAACCTCCCAAAAATTATTAATGTTTATTTATGGGGCCTCACTCACATCAATATTCAATAGATGAGAAATGAAAAATAATTATATTTGGAATCATACTGTATCCCTACTTAATAGCTTAGGACACATACGTGTAATACACTTTTTAGCTCTGCAAGAAGTTAGAGGGACATCATCTGATATGTACGCTAAAATCGGTGGTCAAGACTGTATGACCACTATCATTATTACAGCTCTGCGCCAACTACATACGTGTCGACCAGACAGGTATAGTGTCGACCTTGAAACACTTGATCGTTGGCTATTCATCCGGCACACCCTTCCTTCTGGTTATTTGACTTACAACGGTAAAGCGGACGACATAAGAGCAACCTATTCAAGTATACACACACACACATATATATATGCGTATATATATATATCTGACCAATCTCACGTTTGAAGGAGAGCAGAGGCAATGGATATAAAGCACGTCTGCGTGGGAGCGCTTGCTAAAGTAATAATTTTTATGTCTGAACACTAGAATTCAGACTTGAGAATAACACCAAGACACATAGAGAACCCTAAAGGCGTGACGAACTATAGTAAACCAGGTTTCTTATTTCTATGAGATCCCCTGTTATACCCACAAGGTAATATGCATACATGAATACAGTACAACGATCTGATGGAAAGTGAGCATGAATATGTAGCAGAGTCCAACGAGAAATGATAGTTTCTGCCACGTTTCTCAATCCCATACGCTGAAACTACCATATATCCTAGCATCCCCCAGCATCACCGGAGAATATATAGATACATAATCACTTTATTCCACACATTAATTGATTATCAATTACCAGCTAATTAGTTGATTTGGTTGACTGATACTAATTGAAGATCGATCAGCGTCTTCTGGCTGCGGTTTCTCGTTGCGCATTGAAGTAGACGGCAGCGACTGGAAGGCCAAGCTCGTTTTCTGCGGCAAAGTTGCGGGTGTTGAAGTGATCCCTGTTGGAAGGAGAAGCTACACACTGCCTACGGTTCTGCTTGAATAGCACAAACACGAACCTGTGGATCCCTATATTAGGCTTTGGGATCTCATAGCTCACCAACTCTTTGCCTGCGATTTACGTATCAACATCAAAAATATTACTCTCTAGATCTCTCCCAGTGACTGTCGTTTTATCAGATCAATTTGTAATTTATAATTACGAGGTATGAACGTACCAAATGTGGCATCTGTTGTGCCGGGGATGTCAGTTACCAGCCTGAAAAAACACACACAATTTCCACCAAATTTGACTGTTAGATAGATCTCAATAATTAAATTGCTTTGTACCTTGTCAAAACATGTTTTCTTCGCTGTCTGCCCCGCTGTCTCAGTCTGGTTTTACTTGATTTCAAAAGTAACGGTTAGAAACATGAAGTTTTGCAGATGTTCAGGTTTAATTACGTCTGCAGGCTAATGATACTGTGATGAAAGGGGCATACACATGATTAAGAATTATCGGACACAATTATGCGTTTGATTATATTTATCATTTTATGTCATCTATCACTAGCTAGCTAGGCTGTCTGGCGTCAAGAGTGTCACCTAACGTAATCATAATTTGGACATTAAATAAGACAATTTGTTTTGATTATCAAAAAGAAAAATAAAAAACTGGTTATTAGTTTGATATACCACTGCAAGTGCTCTCTCAGATAAGGGTCACTAGGGCCTGGAACATCCGGGTCTGTCATAACCTGCATAGAGAGCATTCTATTATTGTACAAGAGGTGATTAAGTAAAATAATAGAAAAGAATTTCAAAAAGTGAACCAGCTCTCTGAAAGGACGTTGTTTATGAGTTCTAAATATTAAAAAGAAGCTTGGTAAGAGGAGGAAGAAATTAAAGGGTTTGGAAATACCAGAGTAAAGAAGGACCTCATATCAGCTCCAGCAATCTCAACCCTAGGCCTGGCCGTCACTGCCGAAGGGAACAGTTCATGCCCATTAAACACTTGCTTGTTGTTGCTGTAAGTCACAGTCATTCTCACACTTGGGTTGAAAGAATCAATGACATCTCCTATCACCCTCCCCACAACAAGAGGTTCTGTTGGCATTCTTGCCATTGCAAGAGTAAGTGACCAGTGACGAGGGAGGATATGAGTACTGGAAAGCGGAGACTACTAGAATACACCCTCAGTGATGAGATTAATTATCCCTACTCAGAAATGCGAGAATGAGCTCCGTATTTATAGTGTTTTTAAAGTAACTTTAAAGGAACATATTTCTTTTAATTCTGTACTCTTATAAAAAACATGTATTCTTTCTTTTTTTTTACTTTTTGCCCACGAAACATGCATTCAATTCCTTATCTTGATTATTATCTGACTTCTTTACTAAAATATGATGGGCATATGTAGGCTTTATAACTCAATACTATTGTACGGACGTATTTTTTTTCCTAAAGCAATTCTTGATATATGTTATAGTTTAATTTTATTGAAAAAAATATGATGATAGTTAAATTCATATATAGATATTTGCAATTCTAAAATTTAATGATAAAGACAAACATAAAAGATATAGAAACAGACAGAGATTTAATTTCATAAACTGGAAAGGAAACAATATGATGAGCTATCTTGATTGAAACACACAGAACGTCGTACGGGTCAAAAGAAAGAAGTCAATAACAATACTAAAATGCTAAAAATGCTCCCTGGGAGCACTAAAAGTATATAATAGGTCTTTTGGCACATCATTTCAACGAGTAATTCGTTATATGGGATTTCTGCTGAAATCATATTATTATACTGGATGGCCATCATGATTTGACAAAAACCCTTCCCCATGGGTCTCACCGAATCGGTTCCTGATTGGCTAGCTGTATCCCTAATCAATGAATTTCTCATCAACGAGGCGTTTCTTTTTAAATTTTGAACCCCACCTCATATCAGAAGGCATCATGATCATGTGAAGTAATCTGTTTTTCGTGGGTCCATTCCATGCAAGTTGTCAGGTTGGCTGTTTTATTGGTCTATTAAAAGCCGGAAAAATCTCTGGCAATTCTTCTTCACAATCACATTTCAGAGGCTGATCATCATAAAGTGAGATTATATACATCCTAAGTTTTGTATTGAATGCTTTACGACTTGCGTGAAGAACCTTTCCTTAATTACATGCACAAAACATATGTGTATTGCTGTTTCAGGACGTGTGATTCTTCTCTCTTCTTATTCTAGTCTTTTTGGGAGATTCTTGCGGAACGGTGCAGGACATAAAGAAGCTCCACCACCAATGCTCAAGGCTGCCTATGAGGGTGTTTGTTAGTGGGTAGTGTCATTTCAGAATAAACACGGACTCAGGGATTCAACGCAAGTTTCCAATTTTAGGAAAGGAACAAGGATGGGTTTCTTTAACTAGAAGCTGCTTCGATAATACGAATTTTTAACATGTTCTTCTTCTGTTTTTATTCTTTTTGTTGACGCGCGTCTGCATATGTGCACTCTCGTCTTAAAAGAAGGGGCAAATTTATTTTTAAAAAGAACATCACCAACGTTCAGTGGCATGTATAGCTGGATTTATAATTTATCATTAATTAATAGCAAGCACCAGTTCTTTTGTTTTTTGGTGAGGATCCCAACAAAAAAAAGAAGAAGAAGAAGCAGAATGGAATATGACATGCTGGGGGAGTTGTTACTTTTATATAGAAGATATATATGACACTAAACTACAAAAAGTGTTTGTGTATGTCTATCCAATGGCCACGATATATGTGAAGAGGCATGATTCTAAACTGGCCCGAAAGCACTAATTTCCTATTATGGTGACCATTAATATTTTCCTTCTAGATTTAGGAAATGCATATGGAAACTTCATCTCCTAAAGCCTAGTTCGAGCTTTGGAATTGCGGGAAAAAGCCTAGCTGCCCGCATTTCTTCTGGTGCCTTTTTCTTTTGGGCGCACCGATTCAATCACACATGCGATCCAACCAGATATGGACACATGTTGCAGATTGGACGATGAACTGCGGAAATAATAAATAAAAAAACGCAAGTAGTTTTTGTTATTGACGTTTTAATGATATTTTTTTTAGTTTTTGCTTATCCCTTTATTTTTTTAATCATCAATTTCCTTCGATCTAGCAGCTTCTTCATTCGTATTTCCTATACTCAAGTCTCCTCCCCAAACAGTAATCTCATATCCATTTTCTATATTCTGATCCCTCAGACCATTGTGTCGTTCCTCCCTTTCTCCGCCGAAATCCCAATATCATCGTCTCCTTTAGCATCGAAATTTCAGGATGATCATCTTCTTCGGCACCACTGTCTCCGTTGAGGGCATACCCATAAATATACAGGACTCTTCCAAAATTGAGAAGGCCCGGAACCCATCTTCCCAAAGTGATTTTATTGTAACTGTGCAGCCCGACAGTTAAGTGATAAGATATTGAGAGCAAAGATCGTGTGTAGTACTATATGACTCTGTTTTTTATTATAAGTCACTTGTATCCTAAATCCGTAAACCAATAAATACATTAAATTAACCAGTTTTTTTTTAATATTTATCCTTATTAAAAGTTGAGAGAGAGAGAAGGGAGAGGGGATGGATTGCATAGAAAATGAAAAGTTGAGAGAGAGACGAAGAGAGAGATTAATTCATTTTTTATTAAATTAATAGGGATAAAATCGGAAAAAGATCATTAATTATGCTACAAATAACTTATATTTTGAAGTAAACTTTTAGAGTACAAGTAACTTATAACAAGGAACAGAGTGATAACGCAGGTCCTGCTAATTATAAGTATATAAAATAAAAGGTATCAAAAAATGTCCATAGCCAGAAAAATTACTTGCATGAATGAAGAATAACATAACTAATTGCTTGCATAAATATTATATGTTTTGTTTTCTAAACTAAACAAGCCTAACTAGCCTATATACAGAATGAATTTTGCTCATCAAATATGGATCATCCAGATCTAATGTGAATGGTCCAAATTTAAGTTCTTTTTTTTTAACAATTATTTTAATAAATATAAAATATAAAATAAAGGTAATTTCTTAACTATATTTTTTTAAAAATATTTTTTATTTACAAATAATTAATTAAAATTTTAAATTTGGATCCTTGGGATCATAATTGCATAGTCTTGGATCTTCATCACTCTAATGAGTACCGAAAGTTATTGCCCTACGTACTCCTTTGGGCGCATGTGATTTTGATATTCATGTAAATTTATCGTCCCGCCAGTATATATAATTAATGGTATTTATTTTCGTGATGGGCGGGCAAGGTTTAGAAGATGGAGACGGTAATAAGGGAGGTGAGAGAAGATTTTGAAAGTGTAATTAATGATGGTTGTGGTTGTGGTGGTACAAGAATGGGTGAATTTAGATGTACGGTTATAGAGCCGTTGGAATAAAAGGAAGGTGCAATCTATTATAAACACAGGCCCCCGAGATTACTTTTCTTCCAACAATATAGGTGCATCCGTACATGAGAAACTCCTGCTCCCTTGATTATATCTGATTCGAGGCTGCTTAGGAAGCAATGAAGTCAAGCATATAATTCGTCACCACAAGTCCCGTATATTCTAACAGCTAGCTAGCATGGTGATGATATGTGTCGTCCAGTGACTTAGTTTATTTGATTCAGTTTAATTTAATTGAGCCTCGATGCAATGTTGTGACAGTCCGAATTGATTTAAAAAGCGCTAGCCAGATCTTCTGAATTAGGTATGAAAGGCGAGCCTTTTCAAATTTTTACGACCGTATCATCTGAATCCAGCTGCCTTGACCATATGGCCGCCCCAGTCAAGATTAATATCAGGATTATCAGAAAATTGAAAAAGCTAGCGTTGAATTGAAATTCATAAAGAAGTCGAGTTTAATGTTGCGCACCTGAGAATGCCGGTGAGATTGAGCGATGGCCTTTGCGGCTTTGCCGATTGTGACCTAATTCTTCGAAACACAGAAGGTAGGAGAACTGCGAAGACGACACGCAACCGATTGCGCCAATTTAACAAGACGACGACAATTGCCAACAGCGCTTCTTCCATAGGTTTTTCCACAATTAATTGGTTTAACTCGAGCAGCCAAATCTCCTGAACGTAACGAGCATTTTCAGCCATCGTTAGCGGGCAATGATGAACGAACCAAAGTTGCGAAGCATCTTAACGATAAAATGACCAAGTGAGAAAAATGCGCGGGCATGTGAGGAGCTGTACAGTACAATGGCTAACTAAAATTCTTCAGAGGTGGGATATATAAAACAGAATGAAAGCGTTTCTTGCAAAAATTCCAGTACCTAAACGCATGAAAAGTACTCAGTGCAGACGAAAGAGAAGTAATTGAGAAAGGAAGAAGACGAATGGAGAAGAGATCACCCTTTCACGCCCTTTTTGCCCGCCCCCCCTTCCTCCGTCTCGTGGCAACTTATTCTACGTGACTGAATTTCATGGCCCTCCACATTTAATTTGTAGCATCAGTTACAGCCACGTGTCCCACGTTGCTAACTAACTTCTCACCATCAGACTCCCAACTCCCAAGACACTGGCTTCGTATAAAACGTTCTTGCATCAAATATGTGCGTCAACACTCAACAGGCTCAGGATCCGCAGGGGCGGTGAGAGTCTGGCGCGCTGTTCACGACCGCCTCGCGTTGTTGTTAGTTAGAAGACCGCACGTCTTGATCACCCAGGACAAGGTCACATGGACTTTGTTTGCAGTGCCTCAGAAAATTTATTTGATTTTTATTTTGATTTTAAATATAAAATTTTAATCTATTTGTTTTTATATTTATTTTTTTTAAGATAGTTCTTGCAATACTAATAGTAGTTCTAACCAATCTATTTGATTAATAAGAATACTTTAGGAAAGACAACACTTATTTATTACAAATAACTAATCTAAGTAATTTCTTTAATCTTTTCAAATAATTAACTAGTTCTTATATTAAGGACTGAGGTAGTATAAGAATATAAAAGTTAGTTTTATTTTAATTTGGTATAAATATGAAACTCAAATTTTAGTTGGATTTTTAATTTGGTTCTAAATATAAGACTCTAATACACACTTTGTTTTCAATATTATTCATTTTGTTTTCAAGTAATTCTGTAATAGTTGTAATATTAAAGAGTTACTCCTCCGGTCCTTAATGTAAGACCTATTTAACTAATTTGATTGATTAAGGAAGTTAGTAATTAGT